AAAGTTCTTAAAAGTGTCGCTATCGAGTTTTGTTAAAATGTTAACCTGCACCCCAGATTTTTTTTTAAATATCTCCTTTCCTAAAACAAATAATCCTTTCCCAAACCAATATACATGACCATAATTTTTTTAAATTTAAAAGAAAACCATTCAATAATGTGCCATGCGTGATACACGCTTAGGCGATCATGTATCTTTCGATACATGACTGACGAAGCTATTTCCTTCTGCGGTAGACCAGTTGCCATCCAAGGCTATAGAACCCAGCCTGTCCTGCTATTTAACCATAGCTGCTGGTGGTGGTGGTAGGGGAGGGGTAGAATAAAAGGATTCATACCTTTGTCAAGGGTATTAGCACGTATTGTTGTCTGAATTACGCAAAAATGAAAATAAAACGGACATCTCATTTTAACAAATACATTTAACAAAATTACACAAAAATATCTTGAAATACTATTGAGTAAATTTATTCAATAAAATCGCCATTGGCTTCAACCACGGCCTCCTGACGTCTTCGGAATCACTTGAAACTTTACTGGACATTCTCCTCGTTTAAGTCGGTGAATGCTGCCATAATACTTGCCTTCAGTTCATTTTTGATGTTACAAGCAGTTTTATTGGTCTCCCGTTCAAATACGCCCCACACATAATAATCGAATGGGGGTGCAGTCTGTGGGATTAGGTGGCCAGATATAAGGGGTGTCGTGGTCGCAGAAATTGTCTGACAGCCATGACTGGTTCTACTTCGTGTTGAGGCCGAGTCTCTCACCAACAGATTCGGGAGTTCTTTTCTTATCACAACGATCAGAGTTTTTCGAGCTGCCATACGTTTGTAATGACCATCAAATTCATCCATCTCTTTCCGAATCCTCTGAACTGTCCTCAGATTGACACCCAGGCACTCTGAAATGTTCGTACTGGGTCTTCTGGCGCGAATGCCAAGCAGTACAGCATACAATTTCCACATTTCTGTCGGTGTGAATTGCATCATGGTGCTCTTTTTCTCACAGACAGTGTCCAACTGACCCTACTATAATCTGCAGTCGATAAAATCAAAAAGAAACGACGCGCATGCGCGAAATTAAAACTATAAATTAATGAAAATTTACCCATCGCACCCTATATATATATATATATATATATATATATATATATATATATATATATAAGGCACGTATACAAATATACTCTTAGAGAGACAGAATTAAAGCCAACGAAAAGAGAGAAAGAATGGGAAAAATAAGAGAATAGCCCAAAAAAGAGAGAGGGGGTGTGAGAAAGAGAGTGAGAGTGATAGAGAGATAGAGTGAGAGAGGGAGAGGGGAATTAGACAAAGAGTGGGGGAGTTTCTTCAACGGAACAGAAAAGTCAATACATTTCTCACTAACTCTAAATTTATTTTCCTTGTTTATTGTGTAAACGTCTTTGCCAGGCTGAAACCCGTACCCAAGGTACTATTTCTGTAGATATGATAAACATTTGAACATATGTAGCAGCGAGTATGCGAAGGTAGAGTGAAAGAAGATACCTCAGTTGGGGAGGGAATAGCCGTTGTCCCAGTTTTAATTACACGTAACTTAAGTAAACACACCACTTAAAATGCTATGTCTATTTCTTTGTTTATCGAGAATCGTCCGGAAATGTAAAGTTCTTTAGACTGCAAAAGCATAACAAAATCTATCTATCTATCTATCTATCTATCTATCTATCTATCTATCTATCTATCTATCTATCTATCTCACTCGATATAACTATTTCTTTTTTATCATTGTGACATTACATCTATCCATCACTCGATATAATTATTTCATTTTTATCATTGTGAAATTACATCTATCTATCTATCTATCTATCTATCTATCTATCTATCTATCTATCTATCTATCTATCACTCGATATAACTATTTCATTTTTATCATTGCGAAATTGCATCTATCTATCTATCTATCTATCTATCTATCTATCTATCTATCACTCGATATAACTTTCTTTTTTGTCATTGTGACATTACATCTATCTATCTATCTATCTATCTATCTATATAACTATTTCCTTTTTATCATTGTGACATTACATCTATCTATCTATCTCTCGATATAACTATTTCATTTTTATCATTGTGAAATTGCATCTATCTATCTATCTATCTATCTATCAAATGGAAATAATTTTATATTGCCGCAAATTAGTTTTATTCCACAATGGAGAAGCTTGGGTTAAAAAAAAAAGACGACTTCGATGTACCACAAGGTTATTTTGATGGTGCTAGGGTTTCAGAGTTTATAGGCCTACATATTTTATATGAAATTAACAAAATTGTACATATAAACAACTACGGCCTGTATAGAGATGATGGGCTGATGATAGTGCCAGACAACAGAAGAACAAATGACGACATAAGAAAAGGGAGTTTGGAAAATAAAATATTCCTATAACTTAAGACACACGCATAAAAACAAACCATAAATTCAATTAAAAATAAAAAATAGAAATAGTTCTTGATAATGGCAAAAAGAATAGCCGAAAGCGCTCGGATATGCAGAACCTTTGGATAGTTTTTACACACTTTGTGTCCAGAAAAGAAAATATTTGTACGAACACAAAAACAGTTAAATAAAAGGCTTAATCGCACTACATTGTCAGTCATCTTTAAAGAAAATTTGCTGCACAAATAAACAATATACGTTTTTCTAAATTCAACCGACAAGGTGTACCTGTTTAATTTTTAATTTTATTTTTTAAATTTTCGTATAAATTGGAGCACATCCGGATCAAAATTGTGGGCAACTGTCCAGAGTCCAGGTTTTTGTTCTGGTTTATCGGCTTTATTTTTTCCTCCTTCCGATTAAGACAACTTTACTCATACTCATCTCAACTTGCCTCCGGGGTAATTAACAGTCTAACTCTTTGCTTTCGGGCGGAGTGGAACCCGGACGAGGCTCCGCCGAAGGGCAGAGTCTCGTTCGGGGTGGTTGACTGCCCCTGAACCCGTTTATGCGGGTTCAAAGAGGGAATATTTTTGGCCGAGCCTACGGGCTCGGAAATCCCACGTTAAACCAGGCCTTGTGCCATATGTAAACCTCGTAGGGGGGGATAAATATTACTCATACTCATCTCTTTCTTTTTTTTTTTTTACTTTTTTTTTTTTTTTTTTTGTTACTTTTTTTCTTTTTTAAATGCCGTCTAATTTTTAGTCACTTCCTGGCAACACTTTCAGCTTAACGAATCGCTCTTTGATTCTGAACTACAAGGAGGCTCTGACGGAATTTTACTGACCACTTAAACTGATCGATTGTAACTAAGATACACAAATTTGTGTTCGTATTTCCACGAAGCCATGATAAAAATATTTACTGTTATCACATTGCTAAGCGACGTAAGACTTCATTGATTTCTTTTTTTTGTTGTTCTTTTTTGGGGGGTAGTCTTTTCTACGCTGATTTTGATGTCCTGAATTCAAAATAATCTAGTAAAATGAACATGAAAGAACACCCACACAAATATATACATAAATAAGGTATATTTAGGCCAAGATCACTCGGTTCCTAAAATGACATGCCAAACAAATAATAACGTCAATCGTTTCTCAACGTTATTTGATTTTCTACAGTAGATATAAATAAGTTTAATAGAATTATCAGTGGATCTGTTGATCTGTCGGTCACGTAACTCCTCTCTCTCTCTCTCTATATATATATATATATATATATATATATATACACTTAGTCAAAATTTAATCACACACACACACACACACATATATATATATATATATATATGTGTGTATTGAAGTGGAACGATTATATTGAATCGCCAGAATATATCTTGCACATTTAGACGTCTACCATTCGTCCATGCATTGGATATTGTCGTCACATCTGGTCTGGTACTCCTGTTATGTATTTAGAGATTCTTGATAAACTACAAAGATGAAGCTGCAATGTTACTGGTCCTGACTATTAAAGGATGAGAAATTTTCAACGGATTTTGATATCATTCTGGATTATTTTTTATATAGTTTTTTTTTTCAATGCCGAAGAGTGACACCCCCGCTTTTATGCGGGCACGAATGTCCAGGATTGCCAAATATATATTTTTTCCCAGAAAATATTTAATTGTACGCTTTTTCCATGAACATTTTATATATTCGTTATGAAAATTCAATGATAACAATGTAACTGTCCCTTTGTCTCCTGGCAACTAGATTTTTTAGAACTAGTCTGCCAATAGATAGATAGATAGATAGATAGATAGATAGATGAATTGGAATAAATTGAGATAGATAGATAGATAGATAGATAGATACGCACGTTTCTCTAATCTCAACTGCAGCAAAATCTGCCACGTGCATTGTAAGTTATTTCCACTGTGAATGCCTAGTAAAAGAATTTGCTTATAACGCATATGTAGTTTAACTAAGTCAACTCTTTTGTTTATAAATAAACAAAATTCCTCAAGACAAAATCCATGTTTGCAGAAGCACATTTTTCTGTGCGATAAAAGTTAAAAATTTAAGGATGCAATGATTCATAAAAGCCTTCTTGTTAAAAAAAATAGTTTGGTCATCACTTGTCAAAACTGCCAATGATTATAGAACACATTTAAGTTATTTCCAGTCATTAATCATCCTCTTTGTATGCTATTTTCTTAAATATCAATTCACTCCAAACAAGGCGATAATGCCACTAGGCTGCAGGAGGGTTACAGGAAGTGAAAGTTGGTTTTGTTTAGCGGCATATCAACATCTCTATGGGTTATTTAATGCCAAAATCTAAATATTTTGTGCGCAATTATATTTATTTTATTTTTGGAGTTAATAATGGTTTTAGTAATACAAGTCTTACTAATTAACCCATAGCTGGGGGGAGAAGAGGTGGATTCATACCTTTCCCAAGGGTATTTGTGTGTAAGTGAATATAATGAACCTGACTGGAATTGAACTCGGCTATCCGATTAACAATTCCGAGCCATTATCCATTACATCACCCAGCATATCTAAGCTTACAGCACCTGATATTCCCAAGCGGTCACCTATTTAGGTATTGAGCATGTTTAACTTCGGTGATCGTACGGAAACCGGTGTTTGGACGTGATATCGCCGCAAACCTAGGGAGTGAAAGAGAATTAAAAGGCTTAAGTGAGTAAAGGACAATAAAAGAACAGGATCCAGGAAGACAATATGGCGATTGACGTTGCTTTTGAAGATCGTAGGTGGTAGCGAGGTAATTCCGATGAGAGTTCCACAGGAGAGAAATACGAGAAAAGAAACACAGAATACAAAGTTGCATGGAGCTAATTTAACAGAAAATACGGTGGCACCTAGTTATCAATTTAGCAGCAAGATTAAATTCAAGCAGTCAAGGCAGTAAGCAAAGGATCTCCTCAGAACGGCTGCGATGAAAATATTTGCAGAAAAAGCAGAGGGAAGTCACATCACAGCGGTGAGAAAGTGACTGAGGTCGAGATGCTAGGTTAGGACCGATAACATCACAGATTCTTTTCAGGATTTTATCAAGAAACTCTAGCTATATAATAGGAGCAGCAGACCAGATATAAAATCATACACGGACGAATTGTAGATTTATAATCAACGTGCACTATTAGGGAAAGAAAATTGTGCTGATATTCTTTTTAATATATTCACCCCCCCCAAAGCAAGGCGATAATGCCCCTAAGACGAAAGGTATTTACTGAGAGCAAAAGAGAATGAGAAGAGAAGATAAAATGCAAAAAAAAAAAAAATGACTAGAATAGAAAGGACAAAAAAGAACAGGATACAAGAAGACAGAAGATGGCGATTGGCATTTAAATCTTTGAAGATCGTAGGGGGGGAATAAGAATCTGGAAGAGAATCCCACAGGCGAGAAGTGTGAGAAAAGAAATTATTGGAATAGAAACTTAAGGTTACATGTAGCTATTTCAACATTAAAACGATGAGACATATTTGCCAATCGCGTCGTCTGCTTACAGGAGAATTTCACGAGAAACAAAGAAAAGAGTACAGAACTGTTACCAGTCCTTCTATATTGCAGTGATTGCTGGAAACTCTCTTCATAGGTGAAGAAGAAACTTCAAGCAACAGAAATGTGGTTCTACAGAAGGATGCTGAGAATACCATGGACTGAACAAAAAATGGAAAAAAAGAAGACTTATACTTAACATTAGAAAGAAAGAATTGAAAGTTCTAGGGTACATAATAAAGAAAGAAGGCTTGGAGAATTTGATACTCACAGGACAGATTGAAGGCAAGAGGGACTGAGGAAACCAACGCATAACCTACCTAGCGAGATTGAGTAAATGGATGGTGGAACAAAAGATAAATTTTATTAAGAGCTATAAAGGACATGAAATTGTAGAGGGCTTGGAAAATTTGATACTCACAGGACAGATTGAAGGCAAGAGGGACAGAGGAAACCAAAGCATAACCTACCTAGGGAGATTGAGTAAAGATTGGAACAAAAGATAAATTTTATTAAAATGGATGGTAGAGGGAACAAAAGATAAATTTGAATTAAGAGCTACAAGCTTGAGTAAAGAGGAAATGAAATTAAGAGCTACAAAGGGCATGAAAGAGGGTTTGGAAAATTTGATACTCACAGGACAGATTGAAGGCAAGAGGGACAGAGAGGAAACCAATGCATAACCTACCTAGCGAGCTTGAGTAAATGGATGGTGGAACAAAAGATAAATTTTATTAAGAGCTACAAAGGGCATGAAATTGTAGAGGGTTTGGAAAATTTGATACTCACAGGACAGATTGAAGGCAAGAGGGACAGAGGAAACCAACACATAACCTACCTAGCGAGCTTGAGTAAATGGATGGTGGAACAAAAGATAAATTTTATTAAGAGCTACAAAGGCCATGAAATTGTAGAGGGTTTGGAAAATTTGATACTCACAGGACAGATTGAAGGCAAGAGGGACAGAGGAAACCAATGCATAACCTACCTAGCAAGCTTGAGTAAATGGATGGTGGAACAAAAGATAAATTTTATTAAGAGCTACAAAGGGCATGAAATTGTAGAGGGTTTGGAAAATTTGATACTCACAGGACAGATTGAAGGCAAGAGGGACAGAGTAAACCAATGAAAGCTTGAGTAAATGGATGGAACAAAAGATAAACCTAGCGAGCTTGAGGGCTTGGAAAATTGGACTCACAGGACAGATTGAAGGCAAGAGGGACAAAACATAATAAATTTTATAAATGGATGGTGAACAAAAGATAAAAATGAAATTGTAGGGTTTGGAAAAAAGGACAGATTGAAGGCAAGAGGGACAGAGGAAACCAATGCATAACCTACCTAGCAAGCTTGAGTAAATGGATGGTGGAACAAAAAGATAAATTTTATTAAGAGCTACAAAGGGCATGAAAGAGGGTTTGGAAAAAATACTCACAGGACAGATTGCAATGCATAACCTAGCGACTTGAGTAAATGGACAAAAGATTAAGAGCTACAAAGGCATGAAAAGAGGGACAGGACAGATTGAAACCAACACAGGAAACCAACACATAACCTACCTAGCGAGCTTGAGTAAATGGATGGCGGAACAAAAGATAAATTATATTAAGAGCTACAAAGGGCATGAAATTGTAGAGGGTTTGGAAAATTTGATACTCACATGACAGATTGAAGGCAAGAGAGACAGAGGAAACCAATGCATAACCTACCTAGCAAGCTTGAGTAAATGGATGGTGGAACAAAACATAAATTTTATTAAGAGATACAAAGGGCATGAAATTGTAGAGGGTTTGGAAAATTTGATACTCACAGGACAGATTGAAGGCAAGAGGGACAGAGGAAACCAATGCATAACCTACCTAGCAAGCTTGAGTAAATGGATGGTGGAACAAAAGATAAATTTTATTAAGAGCTACAAAGGGCATGAAATTGTAGAGGGCTTGGAAAATTTGATACTCACAGGACAGATTGAAGGCGAGAGGGACAGAGGAAATCAACGCATGACCTACCTAGCGAGCTTGAGTAAATGGATGACGGAACAGCGATTAAGAGAGATAGCAAAAAGACAAAGTTTACTCAGGGTTACAAAAGACTGGAAATTGTGGAGTGCCATGATCGCTTAATTGCTATGAAAATAATTATAGAAGCCATGGGAAAGTGGCTGAAGTTGAGATGCCAGATCAGGACAGATAATATTACAGACCTTTACTACAAAACTATTTTTAAAGGAAAGCTAGGATTTATTCCTCCTGACAGAACACTAAAGAGGGAATTATTATTAATATTAGTAGTATTAGTAATAATAGTAATAGTAGTATTTCTTTATTTTCGAGTCGTTCATATTATGCAAATGTGTGTTTTGGAAAGGATATCAGAAATTAAGTCACCTCGTAAGTGAATGCAAGAAGTCAGCCCCAAATGGTTATAAAATGAAGCCCATTGGTGTAGGTGTAGAACATCGAGATGTGTGGTAATAACGTAGTTTGGTACGTGTAGCTGATGGTATGAGAATAATTTCAAAGTTTTTTTCTGGTAAATAAATATTCTGGGACTTTGAGATTTGGGAAGATTTCTTCCCTAAATAAATACATATCTAGTTGAAAAGAAAGATAAAAAAAAGTTTCTCCTAAATCGTAGATATGGCTGTTTTAGCAAAGTTCATGTGGTGAAATCAAATAAAAATGCTTCATCACCATTTACCGGAGACACGGAGACAATGGTCCATGGGGGCGGGGGTGGGAGAGGGGGGAAGACAACAGTGGAATAAATGGAATAAACCTTATTGACTAAGATACGGATACAATCTCATCACAATATTTTGTACACCTAAGCCATCATTGGACAATCAGATCACTAGAATTGAACTGTTGTCACTATTTTACTGTTAATTGTAATTACACTATTTGACGGCATATAAGGCACACTTTTTTTTTTACTAAAAATATCGTTTAAAATTCCCCTGCGTCTTATATGCCATATTTAGGTTTAAAATTCGCGATAGTCGGTCGAAATTAGCTACCTGGCAACTCCTATTAACTTAGCCTTTAAAGTAACTTTCATATACCTACTGTCATTATTTAAAAGGCTATTATGTAGATTAAAAGTGTTATCATTGATAATATTCATTATATTAATTTCATTACGTTTAATAGTACTTTGTTTCACTAAAATTATATGCAATAAATTCAAATTATATATTTGTAAAATATATTTATTTCATTAATATTTTTCTTGCGATAACTTCCGGTTGGATTGGTAGAAATACAATCAGAATTTTTATATCCGAATTATTCCACTAAGACGTTTACAAGATGCACGTTGTACAGATCATATAAAGAATATAATAAAGTTTTTATAGGCTCATGTTCTTTTCCTATTATTTTTCGTTTAATTGTAATCACGGCTTGTTTAACCAAAATAATACCTCATATATATATATATATATATATATATATATATATATATATATATATATATATATATATATACCATTTACTAATAGTTTTACTAATTTTTCTAATTACTAATTTTTCCTTGATTTTCCCTGCTGAAATTGGGGCGCGTCTTATACACCCGTGCGTCTTATATGCCGTCAGATATTATTACTTATTGAAGGTGAATCTAATACAATAATAGGCGAGGTTCAGCCAGTTATGTGCCTTGCGTGATTCACGCTTAGACGATCATGTATCTTTCGATACATGACTGACGAGATTTTACTTCCCGCAGTAGGTTGCCATTTCTTTCTGTGGTAGACCAGTTGCCATCCAGAACTATAGGACTCCGTCTGTCCTGCTATTTACCCATACCTGGAGGGGAGAAGAAGAGGATTCATACCTTTCCCAAGGGTATTAGCATGTAAGTGAATGTAATGGATTTGACTGGAATTCGAACTCGGCTCTCCGATTCCTCAATCCGAGCTGCTATCCATTACTCCACCGTAGTAAATTATTAAATGTTATTCTTGAGTTCATCTTTTGTACGTTCTTCAATCCTCCCTATACTCATCTCACATTCACTCCTTGTAACCCCCTAAGTGTTAGTGGCATTCCCTCCTTGCTTGGGGGTGAAATGATTAAAAAAAAGTATTCCCAATACACAGATGACATCATAGATTGAGAGATGTCATATGCTACCAGCAGTA